TTTCCGAGTTAAGTTTATTCCAGTGGGAAGCAATTTTGACCAACTATATAGGTTCAGAACGGCAGCTGGGTCATTTTTGAGGTACTATCAAAAATCGTATTTTTTACCCAGAAGATGGCCGCTGTGGGATTAGTTTAGATGGCGATCGGAAAGAGCTAAGTCAGGGCTACACGAAGACTGTGGTGGAATTCCCCAGCTAAGCTTCGGGATCTCGAGCAGTGTCGTTTTCCAAATGTGTGACCCTGAGCTGTGGTGTAGGCAAACATTGCTCGGTTTTGGGACCAAATGTTAGCGATTTTCAACCCCCTTTGCAGTTGATTACAATAGGGTTCGTAGGTTACCACAGCGCTGAGAAGAAGAAATTCCATTATGGGAAGGGAGAAAGAAACCCCACCACATACACAGTCTCACACTGGATTGATAGGATTGCGCGATCGGTTCTGCCCTTTCTGGGGGATCTAGCCGCTGGCGCTCCCGGGAGTGATTCACCTAGAGGCACCCACTCCATATCCAGTTACAGTGCTGTTCAACCAGCCCGTACAGCGGAAGCGGGAGAAAAGTTGTAGACAGTACCCACATGTGCTCCCCTTGGAGTACTGGTCAACTCATGAGAAAAATTTTGACCGAACTTCAGAACTTTTCTAAGGGAGCGAGGCCCTCTCTCATTTGTGCTTTGGGACCAGTCAAGTGTAAGGACTAGATAGCAAGTTGATTTGTACGTATTGGTTTTAATCAAGGAACACAGTAGGTCCAAATCCAAGGCAGGTGGCCTCCTTGGACGAAGTTTTTCACCCGGATAGAAGTCACTAAAGCGGAAGCAATTGGGCCATTCCAAAGCCGTACTGTGGAAGGTAACATCAAGATCTAAATAAGGGAAATGCCGCTTATGGCTCCAACCACGTTGTGGCTTGGTAGAGATTCATATAGCGAAGTGTGTCGAAAATGATGAATTTCAATTACCGTTTTTCATATGAGAACAGCGACTGCGAGGGACGGTGAAGAAGCTGTGGAATGCTTACCTCACACACTTCCCATAGACCACATAACTGGATCTCGAAATGGCTGCGGAAAGATCTGATACGAGGTTCAAATGTCTAAGAACTTTTGGGACAACTCAATAGAATGACCTCGAATCTGTCAACGCATGAACATACTTGTGCATGTCGACGCGGTATTCTGCTCAGTATGTGAACCGTTGCCTACCAAGAGCATCAAAACTTGTTCGATTACAAGGACTACTTGCATTTATACGTAGTGCTAGATGTCTAGTATAGGCAGAGCAAATCATGCGTTGGGGATTCTGGTCGAGTCGGATACGGCCTACGTACAGGCTCAGTGCTACCCAGGGTACAGCATCGTTGTGTGAAACACATGAGAAGGGTCATACGTGGCCGCTGTGGAGGCACCGTATTTGGTTGTTGTTAGAAAGTGAGGAGGGAGTTGTCTGTGCCGTCGAGAGAAATTTACCGCGTTGAGAGAGTATTTTTCCCGGTTGACCTTCAGCGTTTTCCCGTTTCTGTGCTATTTACTCCTCCCTCCTCCCTTCCCGATTGACGGAAAATTTTTGGTTGAAAAACAGGTAGGAAGCTGGGGACTTGTAGGGAAGTGATAGGTAGGTGCTGAGGAAGGGGTGCGGTGGGTCGTACAGAGACCCCCTCGAGGGGGTGGAGGGTCGTACTGACACTACTATTTCGCACCGATGCTGTGCCCTGGTACTACGCCGCCCCCTTTTTCCTACCGCATTTTTTTTCGAAACTCACTTGGAAGAAAACCAAAGCTAAGCGAATTATTCTCCCTGTCTTCTGACCAGGAGTATCTTTGAGCACTGAACACCATTCAACAGAAGCTGTGTATTTATAAAGCTTGAACCGCTCAATAAGTTCACAGCACAGGATTGCAGCAAAAGTGCGCCCTTTATTTATAGGAGTTCAGCTTGAAAGAAAATTCCGTTGTTCCAATACGTGCGTTACTTCATCTCCCATGGAAAGCCGTACGGCCTACACTCAAAACATATTTTGTTCTTTACAATTCTTTACCTCCGCTGTGTTAACTAAGTTGATTGGTGGTGAAGTCCGTTCCTCCAAGTGGTGCCACCGGGTACTGCCGCTTTTGCGGGTTGCAGAACACGGACAAACTCGAGGCAGGTGACAGGCCTTCGTGACGGGCCGGCCTACGAACACCCCATGTCACATCACAATGTTTAACTATGATTCACGAGATAATGCTACGGCGTCCGCGGGAGCCGACGCGCACTCGTATGGCCCGGCGAGTGTGGAAAGTATGCGAGGGTCCCTGATGCAAGGACGGCATCGGGGGGCAACCAGGCTAGTCCGAAAGTCTGGCAACGTTTGGAAGGCTCGCCTTGCAACGCTAAACGTTGGGACCTTGACAGGGCGCTCATTCGAGTTGGCTGAAGCACTGGAGCGCCGAAGAATCGATCTCTGCGCAGTGCAGGAGACACGATGGTCTGGTTGTCAGTCGAGAGATATTGGTCGTGGCTTCAAAGCCGTTCTTTGTGGTGGACCGAGAACTAAAAATGGTGTAGCTGTAATCGTTTCTCACCGATTCCGTGACTCGATTACCAGTGTTGTTCGTTTTAGGCGTACCG